TTAAGACAGACTGTATCTGTTTTTTATCTGCTTAATATCGAGAATCTTTTTTGATTTAAGATATTAAGTATTGTAATAGATACTACAATAATAAATCCATTATGTTGTTTATGTGTTTTTAACATACAAATTAAAATATGAATAATGACAAATAAATTCATATGTTTACACGTGTCTCTTATTATTGTTCTGTTAAAATATTCATTTTACGTTTTTAAATTATGTTTTTGTCAAAAGAAATAAATAATGCCAAAAAATATAGAAATTAAAAATAAAATTTTCTTTTTATTTTCCAATCCTTGGGAAAAACCATTTTCCCATCATTCCAATCCGATAGAGTATCGACTGTATAAACAAATGATCTAAAATAGAAAATGTTATTTGGAAATGCCGAATATTTTTATTCGATTTTTGTGAAATGACCCTGCAAATAAATCGAATAGAAGCTATACTGTATAGTAAGTAATTATAAATTTACTATAAAATATTTTTTCAAGACAGGTTTTTCCAAACGCGACAGCTTTTTCGCATGACTGTATTTTATTTTATTATTTAAAAAACCATTGAAATAGTAAATTATTTTTTAAGCGAGTTACTTTTATAAAAATGAGTCAAAAGGTGAAGAAGTGAGTCATTTTTTGACAAGTGAGTTAAACAAAAAATAAGTTAATAACCATCACTATTTTTTATCATAACTGTATTATATTCATGTATTAATTATAATTATAACATTTGTTACTTATAATAATATTAATATTTAATAAATGAACTATATATTATTATAATATTTATTGGTTAATTTATATTATTTTATTTGATTGTTATTTTAAATTTTTTTTTTCTAAATTATAATAATTAATATATTTATTATAATCAGGTTAGCTAAAATTTTATTCCTCGACTAACTTTAGTTCGGTTAGCTAAAGGAGTATACAGTTAATAAATTATAAAGTGTTTTGGGATACCTTGCTCAAATATATTCAAATACAAATATACTATTTAAAAAAAATCATTTCAAATATTTAGTATTGTTTACATTTTAACATCAAACTATTATTCAAAAAACAATTTATTACTTCAAATAATATTGAATCATTCTCTAAACGTTGTCCCTCCGTTTTTAGATGTTAATAACAGGAATACATCGGGAAAAAAATTGAAACACTAGAATTTCATTGTCCTCTGAAAATACAATAACAAACTAATCAATGAAAAACAATAGAGTCAGTCTTTCAACGTAATCTAGTGAAAAAAAATAAATTAAATTTTGTCTAAACATCGGGCATTAGGTGAAACGTGAATAAACCCGAAACAATTAAGATGGTTTTTTGGGATGGTTTCCCGAAATATTTCAATTTGAATGGTCCAAAAAGTTTTTCCAGTTAAGGTTAGAGACCAGATAATTATAAAAAACAGACTGTTGTTGCTTTTGTTGTGATTAAACTGTAATTAATAAATATCAAATAATGAATATTTTGTTTGCGTTTCTATTCACAACGTTTGCAATGAATCCGTCTACAACCGAAGAAGAGATTGAACCTATTCCTTTTGAATTGTTGCAACAAATATCACAATATTTAACATTTTCATATCAATATACAGGCGCACTTGAAACCTTTGAATATATTATTCACTCTAATCAACAAGTGTTTCCATCACAATTAGTCCAGGCAATCAAAGAAATGAAAAATATTGAATTGTATGTAAATAATTATTTGAGGAAGTTGTTTGATTCAAAAACAGCAACAAAAAGTGATTTTGTTTCTTTTCTCAAATATCTTGATTTATGTTATAATTTACACCAAATAGACCAGGGGTATGGATACTTCATTTTTCATATAAAAGAAAATATCAAAAAGTTAATGAAGACAAATGCTGATGAAAATATTAAAATGCAAATGAAAAGTAATTTTTTGCTTAGAATAGATTTTTATCAACTGAAAACAACTCTGATTTATAACTTCGCCAAACAATTTGGATTTGTTAAAGATGGACTTTATATGAAAGTGAGATCAAGACTAGATGAACTTATTGGTAAATTAATTGTTGTAAGTGATGAAAGTGGTCAATTGTATAAACAACTTAAGCATTTGTTTTTGGATACAACACATGCACCTTTACCTTTAAAGAAACCAGAAGCTCCGACTTTCAAAACTCCATATGGAATAACAGTTCACGACATTTTAAAAGGAATTGATATTGAAAGAGACAGTACTGAAAAGCCAAGTACTTCGGGTGTTGTTACAAAGAAGATGGATACAAGTAAAACAGTTCAACAAAAAACACAAATTACAACACAACAACCACAACAAATCCCAACGCAAACAATACCAGAACCCCCTAAAACAACTTCTAGAAAAGGAAAGGAGCCTCTTTCAAAAAGTCGACCTCATCCTCTTAAAAGAAGAAGAGAAGAAATTGGGGAAAGTTCTGGAACCACAGACACAAGTAAATCAAGAAAAATAGAAAAAGAACATCCAACCACATCACCAAAAAGAGAAGATAAGGAAGATGATGAAAGCAAAAAAATGGAGTGATCCTTTATTTTTTTAATTTACAAATTAACAATAAAAAAATTAATTAATTTTCGATAACAAAAGCGCCCCATTCAACAATATATTTTCCAGTCGGCCTTTCAACCTTTTTAATGGTATCAACATTATCTATGTCTTTTCCATCAGCTTCGAAAAAACCAATAACTACACGTAATTGCTTGTCAAATCCACTTACCTCAAGTTTTGCTGCTTTTTCGTATTCTTCATTGATTAAAAGAACACCTATCTTTTTATATTTAATCAATTCTTTTAACCAGTACACTATAAAATCATTTCTCTCTCTAATATCAAGGCCAAGCTTTTCAAGTAGAAAACAAAACTCGTTGATGTCGTTCACAAAAATTTCTTTTCCTTCAATTTTGCCAGTCGTTTTTCCTTCCCAAAAAAGATATTCAACTTCTTTATCATTTAAAAGTAATGTGCAATTTTGTTTTCCTCTCGGTAAATATGAAAAGGTGCATTGATATGTCGTATTATTTCCATCACTTCTTAATACTTCAAATTTGGGGAAAGTCTCTCCTATTTCGAGTTTTGAAGTATTCAATGATAGTTGTGTTATACATTCGGTATATTTAGCTTTGGTGATATCAGAAATTTCATCGTATAATATAATTATGGGTTTTTTCATGCAAGGAGCAAATTGATTTTCATTTGATATGACTTTTTTCAAAGCATTAATCAAATCTTTTCGTATTGTACTAAAGTCACCTTCCTCTTTTAAATAAAATGTGTTTGTTCTACCAACGTTTTTTACTAATTTAGTTACTTCCTCGGTCGGTAAAACACTTACTTGGTCACATTTTGTAAAAAGAAGTAAATAATTTTCATTGTCTTTTTGCATTTCTTTTATTTGTTGGTATTTACTTTGTACATATGCAAGTGACTGGACATTCGTCTGATCAACAATTAATAAAATAAAAAAAGTCGAGAAAGTTACTTGTAAATGAATATCAAAATGTTCGTTTTCTTCTTCACAAAAAACGTTAATTGTTACTTTGTAATTTTCGTAACCAAATGAAAATGAATTGGACGGATTTTCATCAGTGAGGTTGCGAATTATAGTCTTTTTTTCGGTTGAAGAGGAATCAAAGACAAAAATTCGAAAATTAATTTCTGGTGTTACATTTTTACACGATTTATTACCCATTTTATTTTTTAATAATTCAGTTTATTGTTAAATTATTTTTTAATAAAATATATTTTGAAGAGGAATTACATGATGTTGAAAACATAATAATTCAAACAATTTGAATAACATTTTCATTATATTTCTTTAGATCTATTTTTGATTAAAAATCATTGTAAAAATGCCATTGAAGAATGAAAAAATATAATAATATTACAGTTAGACGAAACAAACTTCTGCAAAGAATTAACCTTCTGCAGCTATAATTGGATCGATATTAATTTACATAAAATTTATAATTTATTTTTTGTAAATGAGTCGTAACAAAAATAATAATAATTATAATTCAAAATAATTAAAAAGTGTTAATATTTTCTAATTAAAGTAAAAAACAATTTTTATTCATTTATAAAGGTTGTGGTACTGCATATCATCTACAACATCAAGTGCCGTCGTTTAAATTTGGCAACTTTCTCAGTTTCAAAAAAGTTGACGATATTCATCCAAACATAAACCGTTCCTTTGGAATGGGTCTTTCCACATTACACATTCGAATAACGTAACGCCAAAAGAAAAGATATCTGCATTTCTTCTCTATGTTTAACATATTAGGCGCCATGTATGTTGGTGTACCAACCTTTTAAGTAAATGCAATGTTGGTCATCATACATTTACATCTCTAAAGTCCGTCAATTTTGCTATCACCTTGTTACTAAAATTAATTGAAAACACGAGAATGTTGTCTGGCTCAGTGTCTATGTAATTTGTTTGTTAACTGAGTATTGTTCGTTTTTAGTTTGGTTTTATTTTTTCACTTTTTGATATTTATAAGACCAATTATATACTGCAGAAGGTGTATTAATAAAATCCTGTGGATAAAAATATATTTATTTGAAGTTGAAAAAATACTATTAAAAATGGTTTGAATTGTTATTAATTATGGTTATTTTTGAAAAACAATCTGCAGAAGGCTGATTCGGCAAACTGTATATTTGAATAATTATAATAGAGTTTGTTGTAAAACATTGTCCTTATCGCCAATGTTATCCTTTCTATAGATTTATACACAATTAATTGTTTAAAAAATTGTAAATAAGGTAAAATTTTGAAAATTTTGGGAAAAAAACTGGAACAACGATTTTTATATTTCGTACACGATCCCGATATTTTTCAATTTTCATTCACCAAAAAACCCAGAACATCGTTTTCCGACCAAATCTATTGTGATTATTTAACTATATATACCATCTAAACAATTCAATGAGGTATGCTTTGTGATGAGTAAAATGGATATATTGTTCGAACATTGGATTTTCTTTTAATTAACAAATAATAGTATAAACCAGTCTATTATTTTTTTTCACAATCTTTGTATTTTTTTTTCTTATCCAAAAAATAGTGAATTATATAATATAATTTGTTTTGTAATAACAAAAAACAAATAAAATTGTGAAAATATAAAATGTTTTTTTAACATTGAAAAAAATAATGTTAAAAAAAGTTATGTTATCGACTTTTTTATGTAAAACAACGATGATCTTTTTTATTATGAAAAACGAAATCAAAGAGGTAAGAAAAGTTAATAACATAACAATAATTAAGTATAACTAAATATTAAAATATTTAAATACATCATTACAAAAACCCATTCAAAAGTCAAAGTATTTTTATAACAATACACCCCTCAATAAATTATTTTTTGTTTTTAATCGAATAGTTTCTTATAATATGATTATAATAAATGGTTGATACAAAGTTAAATTCCAGATTCAAAAAACAACATTAGAAGTTTATGACATAATAAATACATTTTTCATTCTAATAAAAAATCGATCAATACAAATAAAATGGTGTTGATGACTTTCGAACTTTTTTAAATAGAAAGGAATCCAAAATTAAATCACTAAATAAGAAAAATGTTTAAATTATGAGATGAAACTTTATTAATTATCGGTAATGATATACCCATTAACACTTCTGTTATTAATAACAACGGTTTACTCGACTTGCCAGTTATGTACTTTGCAAGAAGGATTTGCTTCTATGAATCTCGACAAAATATCCAAAAATGATGCGACGAGAATATACACTGTTTTCAACACTAATCTTCAGGCGTATGCATTCAGAGATATTAGTAAATCGCCAATTCAACCGAGCGACAACTCAATGTACTTTGAGTCTTATGATATGGACACTGACATGACGGCTCTGGGTGAATGGATCTCTCAACAAACTACAACTCAAATACCTTTGTACCCATTTTTCATTAAAATGAATCAAATCATAGGCGGGTCTAGAGATTTACACTTGTCTTTGTCTTTTGCCAAAAATCCAAAGAACTATCACACAGCCGAAATGTATACCATCAACCCAACGTCTTTCTATTTTAAAGACAAAAAGATCTTCTTAAATATCCCATCATCTATCGCCTCTAAAACACCTTCTACATTCTTTGGAACAACATTAATGAACTCCCTCACTGCTAAAATTAACACTGAAGTCACACAAATCAACGGAGTAAGCGCTATACAATTCATCACTACTTTCGCTAAAAAGTATTATAGACTCAAAAATGAAAATGGCGCTGTCACGTACTTTAAAAAGGCATTTGTACTCTCGTTGTATCAATACGTCCCTTTTGAACAAAGTGATTTGAGTTTTGTGTTGACCTTTTCAGACGGCGAGACGATCTCTTTTGAGTCGAAACTGTTTGACGCGGGTCAAGTCGCAAGTAATTTGAAAGGGGATGTGGCCGACTTTGAAAGTGTAAGAAGTGCGTTGGAAGACGTCAGAAAAAGGAAATTGGACCACAAAAATCGAATTACTAACTCAACAAAAGTGCCTCATTTTTCCCCACTTGATATTATTACCAATGAAGACTTCAAAAATTTGAATAGAAAGACGGGAAACTTGTATGACTACTCCCTCAGTGATATCATTTCATGTGGAAAAAGAACTATCGATGGGTCTAACGTCAATTTGTTGGTCGTTAAATCATTTTCTCCCGACAAAATCAACGACTTTTTAACAGTAACCAACCAATGCGCTCAACTCTTTGACACTAATAAGGACCCAATAGTTATAGTATTACCACTCAACGGGGGCGGATATTTAATTTGTGAGGAAATTTTAATGAAAACGTTATCCCCATATTCTCAATATAACAGAAGATACATCGCGAGGATATCTGAGAGCTCAGAAAACGTGATGAGGAACGGATATGCTCAGTCTTTAATTGATCCTAAAACCGGAAAAACACGAACGCCTATCAGTGACTACGTCTACACAGAAAAGAGTATGGGAAGCTGGTACGATGAACCAATCACCGATTTATATGGCTCTGTTGAATTTACACATACACAAGACTCATATATGGAAACGGAGAACGCGCAATATCAAATGAAGAACGTCAGAAGTCCAAATGAAATCATCGTTTTCACAGACCATTTTTGCTTCTCTGCGTGTTCACTGTTTGCAAAACATTTCCAAGAGAAAAAAGCGGCGATATTGGCAACATACTCCGGACTCCCGCAATCGACTTATAGAGACGTCGGAGAATCTCCAACAGCTGTTATAGAGGACGTCTATATCAATAATGGTAATGATGTCACATTGTCGAGTTATGGTCTTGAGATGGGTATCTCATTCTTACCAAGTTTACCAGTCGATACAACAAGTGAAGTGCCTAATGAATATAAAGTCCACCATCCAGATAATTACGTTGAAATCGAATCATTCGACGAAACAGAAAGTTCTATAACTGCATTCTTAAAGAAAGGACTCGAAATCTATAACTTGTACAAAACAAATTGCAAGAACGGAACTTATAAACTGGATTCAAAGTGCGCAAACACGGATACTGAAGTGTTGGGGTATATTTGTAATAATGGGGTTTATGGAAATTCTTGTGAAGTTGTTGGGTGTGTCGATCGTTATGTAATGGATAAAGACGGGAAGTGTGTGTTAGATACAACGGTGATAGAAAATGGAGCTTTGAGAATCACAATTATTGTTGCTCTTGCACTTTTGGTCTTTGTCTGAGCACAAAATGGAAATCGCTTAATTATGATTTTTATTATTAATACGTGTTGATTTTTACAATTTTAATTTGTACTCTTAATGATATTTTATTTAATTAAAATAACTATTAATAATACTACAACAAAATAAAAAATAAAAATACTTGTTTTTATATGATAAATAAAAATTCACAATTGAAAGGTATTAAACATATCATTTGATCAATTATAGAGTCGATTTAACAAAATCCAAGATTTAACTATCAAAAACGTAAATGTAGCATACAAGTTTATGTTTTTATAACAACAAATTTAAACTATAAAACATTGTCAAGTAACTTACAAAACTCAGTTATTGTGAAAAAAGGCTTGTTATTAATTTAATTTATTTGTAAATTGAATCAATTTCCAAGTGAAAGTGTCAATGTGTAAAACCAACAGAGATCAATTACGGTCGTAACTTACATATTATATTGTGTTTAAATTAAAGATTTAATCACAAATAAAGGTGTCTCAATATCTTTAACTGAATTCTTATTTGGTTGGTCAGTTTTTTAATATTTTAATAGAAATAAAAATAAAAACCAATAATTAATGGTTGTTAATAATAAAATAAAGTTTACCAATCATATAAATAATAGTTAAATATCAGTATATTACTAATATCAACAATCAAATAAAATTTTTGAAAAAAATAAAATCATTACAATTATACAGATAATTTATTAAAATCATTAGGAATTTACATATTAACTCATTTAAACACTTTTTATTTGCAAGAAAATGAAAGTGATAAGTACGCATCCTTCATTGATGCGTACAAATCAATACAACAATGATTGTATCGATTTTAATCATAAAAAAGACTCTTCTGATGAATTCAATTTGGGGTTAATTGACGACTATTTATAAGACATAACAACTATTAAAAATTCTCTCCCAAACCCAAAAACAAACAAAATTAAATCCATTACAAAGAAAAAAACGAAAATAACTTTGAAAAAAAATCAAACAAATAAACGAAAAACAAAACAATTGACTTTTGAAAATGTTAAAATTGTTAATTACGATTTGAACAATTTCCAACGGTTGCTTCGAGTCATTAATTGGGTAAACTCAATAGACCAATCGGCTGTCTATCCACATCCTTCCATTTTGTGAATTATCAGTCATTTAGTTGTAATAAATAATAGTATTACAATTCGTTTTTTTAATTATAATAACACTTTGTCACTTCAAAAATATAGTTTATTTTTAAAAAATAATTTAACTCAATCCGTTTTAAGTTCTATACAACTTATTATAATTTTTGTTCAATCAGGAAGTCAACATTTAAGGTCTGGCATTTTTCTTTTATTAGATTGTTTTCGTTGTTTGACAAAATAAAGGAAATTTTAATTGTAAAAATAAATGGAATATAAAGTTATAGCAACAATAATAATATAAAATATTTTAATTTTTCTCATTTATATTCTTATTAGAAAGTCTAAAATTTTAAATATTTATTTTACCTATTTTAGTATAACGAGTTATTCGATTATAATGAAGAGTTTTATCCTATAAATTATTATTTTTTATTTTGTAACACTTGTTAAATTATAAAAAATGAAAAAAATCAACTTGTTAATTTATTAAAATTATTGTGGTTAAAAAAATAAAAACTTACAAAAAACAAATCCATAGCCATGTCTGAACACTCTTTGAGTGTTTGTAAAATCATCTCAATAGTGTTTTTTGCTCTTCTGGGTGGTATTGGCGTTGTTTGTTATTGTTGTAAAGACTCGATTTAATATTAAATACAAAATATATTCAAAAAACCTTTTGAGGGCTTTAATTCCACAATTTAAAACAAAGAAAACTTTTGATTTTCAAAATCCATTGCCAATTCATTACTTTAATTAATTTTGTTAATTAAATTAAAAAAATATATTTTTAAATTGATGATAACAAAATCACTTTTTATAACGAAATCTGACTTGATTACTATAATAAAACTTAATGATAAATAGTTGACCTTTTTAACTGGATTTGTGATGGGGGTAAGTGCAATGGATACATTCGCGTCATATATGGGTATTAAAAGAAACGAATTTATAAGTAAAATTGGACTTGAAGTGGGTCTTTCTTGTGCAAGTGGCTTAATCTCTGCAGTTTTTGTATTTGAAATGACATATTTGATGACTACAAAACACATCAACACTATTTGGGTGGCTTCACTTAACGCGCCTATTTTATCATTGTGTCTCATCAACATCATTTTCTTTTCATTAATGTTTTGTCCAATTTATAAGGACTTTGAACCCACACTCGATGAAATGCGTGAATTTGAGAAAACAGTATGTTACTTTTTTATTTTTATTCATCACAAGTTTTTATATGCAAACTTTTTGAAACAATTGACTTTAATTATACAAACGTTGGATAATGAAAAATAATAAATTTATTTTGTTGGCTCTATTATTGAAATACATGTTGTTTGTATGAAATAATAACCATTAGGAAGAGTGTTGTATTGATACAAATATCGACAATAATGGAAAATATTTTTTATGCCAATGTCCCCAAGTGTTTAATGATGATACTAACAAGTATAGTCGTTGCAATGAATGTCGAGATGAAAATGAAGACAACGACAAAGAAGATCTCATTCCAACAGTGTCTTGTTCTATAATCATTTTGTGTTATTCAGTCATCTCTGTATTTATTTACAGTGGATACTCTATTGTTATATGGAAAATTAACGAGTTTGATGATAACAGAATGGATAATGGGTTTATGCAATTAAAAGGATAATTATTTTTAAGCAGTTCAATTTTTTTGATGATTTTATTAATAACTATTTAATTATTATTAAATAAAATAATTTTAGTTTGGAGTTTATATTAATATGGAGTTTCACAACAAGAATAACATTATTTATATGAGATAAACCAATTGATATTAAATATATTGTTTGGATTTAATAAACAAATAACAAAGCATAATTGATTTTATTACATTGAGACTATTAAATTCAAATATAAATAATTTTTTTTGGAAAAAAAAGATGTTTTGATACAATACAATGAAACTAATCTTAATTAATAGTTTTTTTTTATTATATAAGAAAAAAAAGACCCAAAAGTGTACCAAAATTGAAATTAAAAATATAACCACCATAATAGATTTATTATTAAAAATCCCGTCGAAACGTGTCGAAAAGACTTAATTTTTTATCAATTGGTGTTCGATAATTCTGGAAGTGAATCTTTTTCCACAAAAAATCGATCAAATGAAAAAGAAATACAAACCAGAGAAAAAAGAAAACCCATCAAATAAAAAAGAATAAACAGATGACTCACATCAATTTGTCGTCCTCTGTTTTTCGCGCAACAGAAAGCATTCTAGAAACAGACAACCGCCATCACCCGGACACTCGTGCAGTCACAAAACAACTGAGTGGACGAATCCGCGAAACTTATTGGCACATATACCCCGACGAGATTTCGCCATACACAAACCAAACAATTTCCGTCCTTTCAGAAATCACAGACGAAACGACAAACTCGGGCTTCGATAACGAGGAGTACGATTTGATAGTAAAAGTTGGTGATGTCTTGGGAAGTGCAACGAGTTATGAAGGAAGATATTACTCTGCGAATCCGGAGACGGTGAGTAGATATCAAATAGAAGACCGGCTGGGGTGTGGGATGTTCGGGCAGGTCTTTAAAGCAAAGGATTTATCGAAAAGCAGAGAAGTCGCTGTTAAAATACTTAAATCGAAAGGAGCGTATTTCCGACAAGGAATGCTTGAAATATCGATCTTGTCAATGGTTTGTTTTCTTTATTTATAATTTAAAGGATTTTAATTTTGAATACTTTGAATTGAAATATTCGACAAAAAGAAGTCGTTGATTTTCGATGTTCAACGCTTTGGATTGAAAGTGTAAAAAAATATGAAAAACGGAATTCAAATGAATATTCGACATTTTTGCATCAAATCTTGAAATTCGACAAGTTAGTATACCCCTTCAATTATTTTTTATTAATAAATTAATTATAATAATGAAATGAAATTCAATTAACTTTCAGTTGAATGATGTGTATGACAAAGATGGGTCAAAAAATACAGTAAGGATGTTGGATCATTTTTTGTATTGTAATCACTTGTGTATAGTATTTGAATTGCTTGGGTTTGTTATTAATTATATATCATTTATTAAAATCAAAGAATATAGTGATTTGGGTAATACCATTTTAATTGAAACACAAAAATATATAAAAAGTCCATATCAGTTGTTATTAATTATTAAAAATATCAAAGTGTTTCTTTTTAAATATTAAGTCACTGTGAAATAGCAACTTAAATAAAAAAGTTAATAAAATACAATTTATTAACTTATAGTTCAAATATTTATCAAATGTTGCAAGAGAATGAATATCAAGGATTTAGTATCTCAGACGTCCGGAGATATATGACACAATTACTTCAATGTCTCGAAGTTTTATTTGACGCTCATATTATTCATTGTGATATTAAACCCGAAAATTTGGTATTTGATCCAACGACAAATGGGATTAAAGTTCTTGATTTTGGGTCAGCTTGTTTTGATAATTACACGCTTTATACATATGTCCAATCTCGTCATTATAGAGCGCCAGAGATTATATTAGGTATTCCTTATAATAATTCCATTGATATGTGGAGTGCTGGATGTATATGTGCCGAGTTAGTGTTAGGAATACCACTGTTTCCGGGGTCCTCAGAATTTAATCAATTATTTAAAATAACAGATATGCTCGGCAATTTTCCAAGTCGGTTGCTGGAGCAAGGAACAAAAACTTCGTCTTTTTATAATAAATTGGGGAGTGGAGAATCGTCGCGATATATTATGAAACAACCATTTGAATATGAAATTGAAAATCATTTGCGTCTTGAACCGAACAAGAAATACTACAAATTCAAAACCCTTCGAGAACTCATTATGAGAATTCCACTGCAAGTATCAAACAATTTGAGAGACGAAATTAATAACACAACAGAAATACGAGCAGCACTGTTGAACTTCATAGAGGGAATGCTCGAGTTCGATCCTATGAAACGGTGGACCCCATCACAAGCTCTTTGCCACCCTTTCATCACTCAAAGTCAATTCTTCGGGAGTTGGTCACCCCCTGCTGGGTTATCTACACCTCGTCAAGCGGAAGATGGCACGTTTGTGTCAATAACTTCAGAAGAATTCACACGAAAGTGCTTTGGAAATGAGTTGATTCTTCACGGACTGAACACAGCAGAGTATTACGACATTTGTACTGTTGCACTGCAAATGGGAGAAGTGGTGAATATCACATGTCCAAATCCTTTACAACTTCCACCAATGACACCAGTGACTTTTAGAAAAACATTTGAAAATATGCACAAGAGAGGAAGAAGTGGGTCGAATGGACCAAATCAACGCATTACAATGAGGCGGTCATCTTTATTGAGAAGTCAAGAAAACATCGCACGTCTTGCTTTGATAAGAAATCAAACGCCACGAATGGTAGAGCAGGAAATTAAAGAGGAGGGGTTCATTGAAAGTGGATGTTTGGCGACAGTAAGAAGAAGATTTGATAGTTGCAATCCACGAATGACACATACCCCAGCTAGTGACTTCAAGCTGGTCAGAAACGCAGGAGTTAAAGCGACGGATGTGGGAAGCGTGAAACTCGAGCAAAATGAAGGGGAGGTTGATAGAAGTGTTGCTATTGTCCAAGAACCATCAAACGTTAATATTCCAATCATCCCAATTCCAATTCGAAAAAATACTAAGGAGGAAGAAAACTTCGAGTTTGCACCACTCTTCATTTTCGGGCAAGAAGGAAAAGATAAAGAAACACCTATTTGAGAATTTTTCAACATTTTTGATTTGTGTTGTATAAGTGTGTAATCTTACTATATTATATCTTTAAATAATTTAACTAATAATAGTTTATGAATTTATCATTGTATAACTTATATTTAATTTAATTTCCATTTAAATACATTTTTTTAATAAAAAACATTAAAAAGTTAAGTTAGAATAACTTTATTTGTGTCAAGAATTTTTCAAATTGGTTGAATTAAAAAGGAGCTTCTTTGTGTTAAAATTGATTTGTTTCTTTAATTTTAAATAATTGAATTGGAATTATTTTTCAGGTAACAATAATTAAAACAATTTAGTTGTTTATAAGTTGTGATAAA